ATAAATAATAAAGACATTTTGTTAGTAATCTCTTTTTGCTTAGTATAAAAAACAATTTTTCTATTTGTACACTGAATTATGAAGTACACTTAATGAGTCTCATTTTCGAAACTCCAAATTTTGATAAATATATGCACGTTTCAAGGTCTCTAGAGCCCGGTGCTATAGTTTTTAGGAAGACGTCTATATGTGTGTGTACATATTTGTGGTTAATTTTCGCCTTGCGTATTTTGAAAACAAATATAATTAGAACTTGATTGAGTTTTTATTAAAATTGGTATAACATTTTTTTTGTTGTGAATAAATTAACTGAATCAACGGAAACCTAGCTGAATTTTGCAATTGATAATCTGTGCTATTTACTCATACGGATTTTGAATATGGTGAGAGAAATTTTTTCTCTATTTTCATCTTCTTCATTTATCAATCAATTATTTATAGATATTAACGATAATATAAAAAACACTTATGATAAATTTGTTATTATAAGACAATGAAATAATTTATTCAACATTAATCTTTTAATAGTATTAAGAGAATTGCGTCGGCGGTGCTACAATGGATTAAAAAAAAATATTTCTAACAATTAAACATTTTTTCAATGATAATAAAATATTCTCAAGCTCATGATGTTAAGCTCTCGGATCACACCTAGACCAATATTTTCAATTTGTAAATATATAATAAATCATTTACCGTTAGCTAGGAGTTTGTGTATAAAAATAAAACTGATGTATGGATAAAAAATTTTATAAATATTCAGTTATTGTCGAGGTTTTATATTTTTCATTAAATCTTCTATTGAAATAACGGAATATCATAACAATAAATAATTATTTTACCAAACTTGAATCATAAATTTATATCATTATCATTGTCGATAATTAAAAATTTATTTTATTAAAAAATTGTATCAATGTTTTAGAAGCTTTTTCAAATGATTTAATAAATTAGAAAATAAAAAAAAAAATGTATGCTATAGCGTAATATCTTTCCTAACTATTCATAATAACATTTCTACTTTCATACTCTCAAGCAAAGATATTTGTTAATAATTATAAGCATATGGAAAATCAACTCATAAGAATTGCATATTATAAAAGCATTAATTCATGATAATTTATTCACTTGATAGTTTTATTTATAAATTAATTTTTAAAAAAAGTCAACATTTATTAAATAGAAGCCGGTATATATCTTTCAGAGAAAGGAATTTTGGAGTACAAAGACTTTAATTATCGCTAAATCAATTCTTCGAATCTGATATTATTCTCAACATTATATTACAATTATCAAGATGTTCTGATCTAAATTATTGTAAAATGAAGATTACACTAAAATTTTCAGTTTTTTAAAAAGTGAATAAGAAAATTGAAACATAAAAGAATGATCCTGTATGTCAATTTAATCGTTTATTTCTCTTTCCAACGATGTGTGACGCAACTGCACGTTCTTGGTCGCGTGAATCACGTGATAAGATGGTGTCAGTGGCCGAGCACAAAGCCTGAAGAGAGTGTATGTAGCCCTTGGAAGAGCTGTGTTGGGTCAGGGCGCCACTAGTCGGGTCGTTGATATATTCTCGATTCTTCATCACAGGTCCGGGTCTCTTCTCCACTCACTGATCGTCACGTGGGTGGACCCTAAATCGTGGCTTGGTCCCGCCTTGAGTCTTGTAAATTAACCTATCCTCCTCGATTTCTCTGTTGAATTTTTCATTTTAATCTGTGCACTACTTTAACGCTATCTTTATCATCATTCTATTATTACAAGCTTCAAAGCTTTTCAATATATTTTCAAGTTATTATTTTCTTCTTCTCGTAGTAAGAAGAGTAACTCATTATCCGGTTTTATTTCCTAATAGCAGAATAAGTTAATAATTACTTCCGTTTAATTCTCTCGGGATTTAATCAATTCCGCAGTCGATTTCCCCAACTTTCTCAGTCACAAATTCCAAAGTTCCGTTATAGTTGTTTTATTATTATTTTTTTTTTTAAGCTTCTTGATTTATTCAGAGAAAGTATTGAGAGGCTTTGAAGTCATCAGTAGGTTGTTTGAATACGATTTAAAAAATCTTTAAAGTCTTTGTTACTTACTTTTACGTTGCTTTTGTCAGTTGAATCTTAGCTTGGAGTTGAGTGACCCCTTGTTGGTACGCGAGGAGGCACAACGACAACGGCGGCAACGAGGAGTGGCCGAGAAGAAGAAGAGCAAATTGGTGCTCTTGGTAGCAGGAGCTCATGAATAGAATGGAGGGTTCAAATCGAAGTGTGCGTAGCAGGATGACGAGTCCCCCAGCGCATACTTCTGATTGGACAGCGACTAACTCCAGCTCGGCCTCACGGGGCCCCAACAACTCCTCAACGACTGTGGGCCCGTCCACAGGTGTAAGAACGGGCCCAGCGAGACGCCAGTTGTCTCAAGACGATCCCAACTCCCCACAGGCCCCACCCGAGGCGAAAGAACTCCACTTCAAGGTCTTTACTCCTGATACCATCACCTTTCTAATTTAAGCGTGACGTTTAAATTGACTATGTTGCTTCCCAGGCCCTACTGTCACGTAACTACTTTAACTCACAACCTCCTCTCCATTATTCTCTTGCTTTTTCTCTCTTTCTCTCACAGAGAAATCATTTGTTTTAAAGATAACTGAATTCTTTGAATTTTTACACGAATTTCGGCTTGTAATTAAATTAATTACAGATTTTGTTTATGCATTAATGAAAAGATTAGTTGAGTAAGAATAATATTTATTAACAATTAAAAAATAATTATTTATATTGAAAAAATAATTTGTTGATAATTGACATGTTTAAGTTGAATACGTTATTTTACAATTATTGATGAATAATAGAAATTTTAAACAAATCTTTTCATCAGTATATAAGTAAAAAGGTGTGATAAATTATGACTTGAGCAACAACCAAATCAATATATGCTTTTACTATTATTCTATAAAGTTAAAATTACAGTAAACTTAACCAATATCATGTAAAAAGATAATAAATAATTAAAAATTGAAATTTGAACGTCAGTTTATCAACAAATATTTACTTTTGTTTATTCAAAACCACTGTACAGATGATACGATTTCTTTCTCAAAAGTTCCAAATCATATTAAAAATAATGAAAAGTTTATTTACAATATTTTTCATCACATAAATATTTTCCCTTTGAATTTATAAAATCTCGTTAAAACAAAAAAAAATTGTTTAAAAGTTAAGCATAATTTAAATAGATTATATATTATTATACAAAGTCTAATTTCTTGGTGCATGAAATAAGAAAACCTTATTTAACATAAATTTATTATTTATTTTTCTCAGTGTAGTCTTTTAAATATTTTCTTACGTACTTAATCTTGTTTGTTCTTCAAGTTTATACAGTAATTGAATTATAAAGTTTTTTATATTTTCTTTTGCGATGAAAACGTCAATTCTATCGAACCATGCTTAACATCCTTGATGACCATCTTTCCAAGAATACTTTTCAAGTTGCCGCTAGATTTATGTATTTTTGCATCTTCTACCATTTTACTCCAAACTAATATATATGCATTAGTATAATACTTAAGAATAACATTATTCAATAATTTCTCTTAATTCAAAATTAAATATACATTTTTTATTTAATGTTACTCTAAATGTTATTTATTTATTCTAAAGTTGTTAATCTTTAGTTAAAGAATAAGTTCATCAGTGATATAAAATTAATATGTAAAGAAAAAGTTAAATTATGAAACCAATTTTACGCTTCAATGAGTCTTCAACAGAATTATTTACTCCATAATGATGCTAAACAGGTAATGCTTTTGGGTGATAGTGGAGTAGGCAAGACTTGCCTGTTAGTTCGATTTCGAGACGATCATTTTCTTTCTGGAAATCACATAAGTACCGTCGGTATAGATTTCAGGGTAAGAAATATAACAATAAAAATGTATTGCTCTCATTGTCTGTATTACACTGTAAAAATAAATGTATTAAGACATAACGATATCATATCTTACGATCGATTAAATGATAAAACATTTTTTGCCACTTACTTCAATATACACGGAAAGAAATCCTCTGGTATTTTTCTTTTGATCTTTACTGAGTATTTCATCGGATTATTAGGTAAAAATCCTCTCAGACACACTTTGAAGATGTAGAAAAAAAGAAATAATTTTCCGAGATATTAGTGATAAAAGATGAAGGCAATGATTGTTCACATCTTGCTTGTTAGGCAAGTACAGTAATCTTTCAGGAATTTTCTTTCCGTGTGTGAAACACAAAAAGTTCTGGTAATTATTAGCTTTTAGTATCTTCAGGGAATGAAAACAGTGTGAAAAGTACGATTACAAGCTATTCCAATTCTCTCCATACCTTATAACAAAAAGTAGAACCCAAAGTCTTTTACATTGGATCGAGAAGGTCATTGATGCTATCATGAAAAGCTTCACAATAAAAATCACCTTTTACGCATATTAAATTTACTACTCTTACATTAACTCTTAATTCTATGCTAATAATTATCAAAGAATTTTTTACAAACCTAAGTCTTAAATGTTTTAGCGATATTGATATGTTTGATGATCTAGATAAAAAATATTTCCAATTTTTATTTATTTTTAGAAAAGAAAATATCCATTAACTATCGCACAGTTTAACATTGTATAACATAATTATTCAGCTAGTAGAATAATCATGTAACCAATTCCATATGATATAACATCATTAAATTACATTCAGTGTTTGAATAACAACATGGAGTCTGTTTTTTATACCAATACTTTGAAAGAGAGAAATTATATTGACATTCAGAATCGTCATTATAATGTAATTAAATATTCCAACTTCATTTAAATCAGTAGCATAAAATGTGATATTAACAATTTAATTCATCTATTGGAGTATAAATAATGAATTCCATTGAATGGAGAATTTAATTGATGTCAAATCATTGTTCGTGACTGTCTGATGATGACGATGAAGAAAAATTAATGAAGGCAAAAATGATTACAGAATAAAGTGGTGGATGTAGGCGACATGAGAATCAAACTTCAGATATGGGACACTGCTGGTCAAGAGAGATTCCGTAGCGTGACCCATGCGTACTACAGAGACGCTCATGGTAATGGAAACAATATGTCTTGTTTGGTCAAGTTATCTTATTCTGAATCCCAATGAGATAGAAATAGACTGTAGTCGTGACCAATCTTAAGTGTAAACTGTTCGTGTTTTTATCATTTAAAGCAATCAAAAAAAAAAAAAAGAAAGATAACGTAAAAATTTATAATATATCATGCTCCTCTAAATAAATTGATTAAATTTCACTTCAAGATAACGTGTAATTTATGATTAAAAGTAACAAATCAAGGGTTGAAAGTAATCTTCCCAAACTTTCAGTGTCACTAATTAAACATAATATCCAAGTTTTTAAGAATATAACAATGACATCAAATAGTATGACTTTATATGAAACTTAATCTACTAATTATAGTAATATTTAGTAGTTGGTATACATAAATGTCTCAGCGAACATCTGAAATCAATTTCTGATGCTTTTTAAAGTAGAAATTTATATTGAATTTAAAATGCGTGAATCCAGAAGCGTGACTGCATAATAGATGAGCGACTGGTTTTCAGCGCTGCTCTTGCTCTACGACGTGACGAACAAGACTAGCTTTGATAACATCAGGGCCTGGTTAAGCGAGATCCGGGAATACGCACAAAGTGACGTAGTTATCATGCTTCTTGGTAAGTACTTTAGTGTGCTCTTGATAAACTGATAATAGCAACGAGTGATTTTATCACATATTTTATGTTTATAAATTATTGTAATCACATGACATTCCTATCTCTCTAGGCAACAAGACGGATTGCGGAAATGAGAGAGTGGTCAAGAAAGAGGATGGTCAGCGTTTAGCGGATGAGTATCAAGTTCCATTCATGGAGACTTCAGCAAAGACTGGTGTGAACGTTGATTTAGCTTTCTTGGCAATTGCAAGGTCATTATATATAACGAATCATTTCTATAGTTCTTAAAAGGAATATCATTTTTTCGTTATTTAAATTCCTGTGTTTCTCAAGAGTTTAATAAATCTATTTATTGAAACTTGAAATTAAATAAATGTAATGAATCAACAAAATTATCATTAAATAAATTTTTCTGTCATGCTAGAAGTAGATGAATTATCTAATTAGTATTAAGTCAATATTAATTAGTATTAAACAATCATTTATCTAATTGCAAAGTTTTAGATGACAATACTACATAAATTTATGTAAATCAAAGACCAAGATTATTAATTAAAGTAGCTATCTGTTTGGTATAATTAATTATAATTCAGTAAATTGGTTTAACTGAATACAATCTCTGGTAGTGCTTACATTAGATAAAATGCTACGCTCAAGCTATGTTTATTTTAGAAAGGAAAATATATTAATTTTTTGATCACAATTACTTTGTGTTAATGATAACAATAATATAGAAATTGAAAACATTGTTCTATGTTGAAAATAACTACGAATTGATACTAATCTACTATGTGCATGATTGTACTTTTATGATGTTAATTAAGACCTTTTGTTTATATCAACAGGCAATTACAAGCCCGCAAAAGTGAAAATCCTGATGAAACCAAGTTCAACGTACATGAGTACGTACGTCAGCAGTCACAGAGTAGAAGTACCTGCTTTAGTACGAATTGCCAGACGACCTGAATTGTGCGGCCGGTTTTCTGCGCAAACAATAGTAGCGTTTGCAACGGTCTCTTTCTCGTCAAACTGTTGGGGGAATCAGGGATCACACATTGAAATTCGTTGAATCGTAACCACAGTGGAAGTGTTACAGTTTAAATGACAAAGTTTCCAGGGTGCAGGATGCCTAGAAAAAAAATATATATATACAACACAAATAAATTAAACACAATTAACAAAAAATGTTATAAGTTAAATTATTTAAATATTCAAAAAGAAAAAAACCAAGACTGGTGCTTGGGTCTATATGATATTAATGTAGTTATTGAGATGACAACATAAATAAATAATGAAAATGAATACAGTGATGTAGCTTACATTGAAATTAATGTACTAGAGTATTACATGTATATTCTTAAAATATTAGATGATATATGATTTCAATGAGTATTAGAAAAGTTCTAGAATTGTCATAATTCAATGTTTTTGAATTATTTTTCAGATTAATTTTATTCCACCAAAATTTGATTAGAACAAAACTACTTTATATTTACATGAAGCATGATAAAGTTATTAGCAAATTATGAGCTTTTTAATGAATTATTTTTATGATGAAAATTGTTTTTATAAAAATATTTCAAAACACAGATGATTTGAATTAAATAATTACATTCAAGCATAAGTCCATATTGAATAGAGGTTTCAGCTGATAATATGCCTTAATTTTTAAAAATACAATTTTTGTAAATTATATATTCATTTTTCAACTGCAGAAGAGTTAGATTAAAGGAAAAAATTCTTAATATATAAAGAAACTAAACCTTGGTAGCAAGAAATTTTTGTGAATTAAATTATCTATGTTACTCAAGAGTTAATTCTCAAATAATCTTGAACAAATTACTGCTATATCAAATGCCTATGTGTAATTAATATTGATATGTAGCCATAGCAAATTTATTGTTAAGATGGGATCAAAATTTATCTTAATTGACAAGAACCAAAGAACGATATAGTACTCCAAAACTTTTTGTTAACAAAAAAAAGTTATTTATTATATAAAATAGTAAAGTGTATTTATTTTTCAAGATGAAGAAAAATCACCAATTGCTTGAAGGAATGAGTAAATAAGATTTAGATGATGTCAGAGGTGAAATGAAAATTTTGTTGCAATGTTACATGGATGTATATTAATTAAATGTATATCTTCAATGTCTGCGCTGCAAATTTATAAGACTTAGAATGAGCGTGCGACAACATAATACTTGTTATTTATACGCAACTGTAACACTCTAGAAGCTTGCACTAATTTAATTTATCTCATCGTCTGTATCGTACAAAAGTATCTCAAAATATGTATCCAATATCACGATGAAATTCATTTCAGATCTTCATATGATTTAAAACAGATGTAAGCTTTTTATTACATTATTCTGCTTTACAACAAAAATAATGATTGTATTTTGTATTATCAGTATATTATTAATTATGCACAAACAAAATCTAATATGTTTTCTTGTAAGAATCAATTTATTGATGATATTATAATTGTATAATAATTATGTTGCAAAAATTTGTTAATTATTTTACAATGTACTGAAAATAAAATTTCTATAGAATAATTAATTTTCTTTTATTCATTGTTTTAAAATAATTAATATTTTTTATTTTGAAAAGTTTAACTTTTCTTTGTTCTGATATTAATGATGATGTCGTACATTTAATTAAACTTTTAAATAAGAGGAACTTGTGTTTTGCTGGAGTTTGCTAAATGAAATTTTTCAAAGCATATCAAAGAAGTTGTGGCCTTAACAGAATCGATCGTTACGTACTGTATAATTAATTCTCATATGACTTTGACATTCAACCGTTCAGAAAAAAGATACTTTTTAAAAATTTATATTTCTAAATCAAAGTAAAATACAAGTAAATCTAAATATTTAATTTATAGCAGATTATTTTACTCAACTGATTAATAATTCTTAATAACAATAAATTAAAATTAACAAAAAGTAAATCACATTGAAAATTTCTGATTAATTTAATATTTATGAATAAATGTTGAAACTATCAGTAATACCTCATTAAGTTGGTTATAAATTAATCATTATTGAGTTATTTTGATTTATAAAATTACAGTAATATTGATATAATAAAACAGAACTGATATATTAGCATAACAGTTCATTATCAATTTAAAAAATTTCAATCATTACCAGGAATTGAATGTTTTGTTTAATATTTAATATAAAATGACTCCAAAATATTATTCGATATATCAATGTGATTAATAAGATATTTACAAATCCAAAATCGATGCAAAAACAGACTATCAACGCCATCTATCGAGATCGACTGTACAACATGACGCCACATCGGTACGAATGTACATGCGCAGAATCTTCTGCTCAAAACACGGAAACGTAGGGAAATGAACCGCTCGATTGTAGCGTTCAAATGTCGGCAAATGTCGGCTAGCAAACAAAACGTTGCGTCCCTAACCTGCTGCAGTGTGGATCAGTTAAAGTAACCAAGCACCAGTGGCGGCTATTTGTAATATTATCAAGTTGTGGGGACTAATCATCCAGAATGGATGATGTAGTCGAGTTTGAAAATGTTGAGGACCTGTGTAGGTTGTGTTTGTCGAAGGATGAGCCAACATCATCAATATTTGGCGTCCAAGAGTCATCGGTGCCATTGGCCGACAAAATACAAGCATGTCTGTCGATTGAGGTAATAATTCATCTGTTGTAACATCTTATTCATTCATAAATAATCAAAACAAATGTTGTACAACTATTGAATGTCGGAATAATACATTGACTGCTATAAATACCATAAAGGCGAGCTAGACCTTAAAGCTACTGATAACCATTAGCAGCTTGGAGAAGCGACGCCGCATGTTGGTCAATTCTCAGCCAGAGAAAGCGTGTATGCACCCACGTGCTTATTAATTGATTATTCATATATTTAGTTCATTATGTATTTGTTTTAGATACTATCAAATGACAAGTTTTCCAAGGTGATCTGTATAAACTGTGTAAAAACTGTTAATCAATGGCATTCGTACAAGGAATCTTGCCTCAGGTCTCAGGAAAAGCTACAGAGATGGCTTGCAAAGCAAACCAATACATCTGTTGGCTTAGTAAGTAACTTATAGTTCTTTTTATCTTCTAAGAGACTTTTCTCTTTGCTTTCTCAGAATTAAAATGATCATCATACTTTCTTGCATGCACAAATTAATATTGCATCAGACACTGAATTTTTCTTTTAGATATTTTTTCAATTTTTAATATAATATTATTATTATTATTATTATTATTATTATTATTAATAATAATAATAAAAAAAATTTTTATTTTCGTTTCTTAAATACCAATTTTCCAAGTTAATTAAGTCTTTCAGAATTTTCAATAAATTCATAAAATCATCAACTTTAATTAAATTAATGAGTTAAAACAAAACAGTTTCATTGTTTACATAACCTATAAATTGTTTTTTACATTCGTTATATATGATGATAATTATGACGATTAAAAACTAACATACTAGAAATTTTTAAATACATTTATTTAACTGAATTTATTATAATATAATTTATTAATTATTTTTTTTGTAACAGGTTACAAATATAAAATCGGAACCAATGGATGTAGAAATGTATGCAGACAATGTAGAAGTAGTAGAGATGTCTGCGGTTGAACATGACCGTAGAATTCCTCTAGTAGAGAATGAAAAAGGACCTGTTTTACGTGGACATCGTCGTCGTAAATCACATAACGTAGCTGTTAATTCAGGTAAAAATAAAGACATTCAATCTGAACGATTACTTCACCTAGCCGATGTAAAAAATGAACTCACTGATGATGATGACATTGACTGCAATGTTAATGTTGAATTCGTGGCTGAAAGTGAATTATTAATTAATCCAATGGCTCTTGGAGCTAATAAGAATATGGAACCAGATTCAACGCAAAAGTTTAATGTTTCAAGAGCTGTAAAAAAGAAAGTAAGAAGAGGACCTCATACTCACTTTAGAGGAGTTAAGGTTTACAAACAAAGATGTCCATACTGCCAAATTACTCTTCACTCAAAAACCTCTTATGCAAAACATATCGAAAGATATCATGATAAAAATTCGAACAATTCTAATTCTTCAGCCATGCCAAAGTCATCTACAGCAACTCGTAATGGTTTGTCTTATTCAAATAAAAATGCAATTCAAGTACAACAAAATTCTTCAGTAGTTCAAGAAGAAGAAGAAATAGAAGATGTGGAAGAAGAGTTGGTAAACTTGGAAAAAGATGCACCATTAACACAAGTCCAAGAATCTATTATCAGTCAGCTAAAAACCTTTTCTTGTTATGCCTGTCAACAATCATTTAATGACCGACGTAGTACTTTAAATCACATCAGACAACATATGCCTGATCTAAGACCTTACACTTGTATTGCTTGTCTCACTGAATTTCCTGATCGGTCTATTTACAAGCTCCACTGTGGTGCTTCCTTTGAATGTGCTATGAAAATAGCTTTGGTGGTTCCCAAGCACGGAACTGAGAAATATTTTACCTGCAATATGTGCCTGAGACCAATGCCAAATCGAAAAGAACTTTTAAGTCACTTGGCTAAACATTCTGACAAACAGTATGAACAACTAACAGCACCTAAAAGTCCACCAAAACTTAAACCTATTCATCAAAAGGCAAGTTCTAACACTACAGGACCTTATCGAAATGGAGATCCAGCTCATAATCATACTTGCGATTACTGTGGAATGATTTATAGATACAAACCGAATATGATTAAACATCAAGATCTCTGTAAACGTCTTCCCCCTGAAGAAAGGACTTCATACCGATGTGTTAATTGTGGAATGACATTCTTAGTCTTTAAGAAATTCCAATCTCACATTGCTACTGAACATAACAAGAAGGATTTAGTTTGCTTTGAATGCAATGCGAAGTTTAGATTCTCTAATGAATTCTTAATTCATCATCAAAAGCACAGATTGTCTAATAAAGCAGCAGAAACTCACAGCGAAAATCATTGGAACAAAGCTCCAGCAATGAAATTCGCATGTGCGGTTTGCCCGGAGGAATTTTCAACTAAATCTGAGTTAACGGAACATAGAAATTCTCACTTGAAAGTTAAAATCTTTTCTTGTAGCATTTGTAGAAGGATGTTTGGTAATTCTCAAGCACTTCAAGAACACATGAACGATCATGGCCCAACAGAGATTGATCCTAATATATCAGCAGTAGATTTTCTTGATAACGAAGCAGATGATCCGAATGCAAGTGGATGGTCAGTAAATTCAGATCCAGGTGGACGAAGTACTGAGTGTACGACGTGTGGTAAAGTTTTTGCAAATTATCCCAATCTCCGTCGCCACATTCAATCAGCTCATTCTAGAATAGATGAAAGATTTGATTGTTTCAAATGTTCTAAATCATTCACCAATGAAGATGAGTGGAATCAACATGAACAAACTCACAAAGAAAACTTAGGTCATCGTTGTAATTATTGTAAGAAGAGATTTGAGTCAAAAGAATCTTGGGAACATCATCAGAGAACAGTGCATGGAATAACTGAAGAATCCTCTGCTTGTGACATATGTGGAAAACAGTTTGGTAATGAAACATCTTTGAAAATCCATCGAGGACATCACTTTAGAAGAGATTCAAGACTTAGTATCAGAAATATGCCTCATCCAATGGATCAGGTACAAGTGGAGCTCAATGATGAGTCAGTTCCGCCTCTAGAATCTTCCGGAAGAAGTGTTAGAGCATCTAGAAAAGCTTTTTCCAATGGATCGTCACCAAAGGCTTCAGCTTCTGGTAATCTTCAGTGCCAAGTATGCGATGACCGATTTTCTGATGTGCATGATCTTCGAAAGCACTTATGGGATGTTCATTGTGCTAAAACTAAACCAGAAAAATCATTTACGGGTGAATTGCAATGTGAATTGTGTACTAACATTTTCCCTGATGAAAAAAGCCTTGAGGAACATATGAAATGGCATAAAGAAAATCCAATTCTTTCAGACGGTTTACAAAGGCCTGTTGACATTTCTTGTGATATCTGTGGAAAGTTTTATAGTTCAACTAAAGCTTTGTGGAAGCATAAAAAGCTTCATAAAACTACCGGTAGTGGAAATATGAAATTTAATTCAACTAAAAAACCACAGCCTACGCAATATCCTTGTCCAGTTTGTCGAAAAGTTTTTGGTAATGAAACTTCCATGAAAAAACATAAAGCTGCTGCTCATTATGCTCGTCGTACAATTTCTGTTTTTTCTCCATCACGTAAACCGTCCACAAGTAATGAAGAAGAAGATATTAAACCTAAAAGACCGAAACTGGATTTTGATATAATTCGTAAAGCTTATAACTTAGGTGAACCTTCCAGCAGTTTTAGTTCTAATAGCTCAAATAAGAAACCAGTTACTTGTTCCATTTGCAAAAAATTGTTACCAAGTATGAGTTCATTATATAAACATAGACAGAATGTTCATAAACATGGTCATAACAAATCTCTTCCTGCTTCCATTGATGATGAAATGTATGATCAGAAAGGTGTGCCTTGCAGTGAATGTGACAAAATCTTTTCTAATTTATCTAATATGAAACAACATTTTACTAAAGTTCATGGAAATGGCGGTAAGCATTATTGTACTATGGAAGATTGTAATGAAGTGTTTAATTCGCCGTTAGCTAAACAGTCGCATGAAAAAATTCACATGAACATTCTTTATAATTGTACCATATGCTCTAAACATATGTTTTCGCGTACTGCCATGATTAAACATCTTATGACTGATCATAAGTCGGAGTACCAGCCCAATATTGAAAAACATTTATACAAAAAAACGGACCTCAATAGTTATGTAGTGAAAGGAGCTGAAGGCCGAGTGTGTCCCATTTGTAAAATTACTTATCCTAATATTAAAGCTATGAAAATTCATTACCTTAAAATTCATGAAAGCAACAGTTAAAATACAAATTATTATTAAATTATCTTTGCTAAAGAGGTTTATGTAGAAAGAGAGACAAAATGATTTTTTTAAAAAGAAAAATTACGTTCGAGATATTTCATTCGACAAATATACAAATTTTTTAAGGAATCGATAAAACATAAAAATATAAACTTTGTAAATAATTGCTTATTTGCTTGAACGAAATAAATAATCAACTAAACTTAGTTGAAGATGGCAAATAGAAAGTTAATTTATTTAAAAGTAGAAAAGTAGACATGAAATCATTTATGATTGATTATAATAACAAATATACGTTGGATAATTAATCATTTATGTCTACACTATTTCTTTTAAAACAAAATACAATCTAGAAAATCATTTTCTGTCTCTGTAAAAGTTTCGATATGCATAATGAAACGAAGAATAATTTTTTCAACAAAGCCACACTTTAGCATCTCTATAATGAAGCTCGTAAATTACGAGTTTGTAAATAGTTATTTCATAATTCATCTTTTACACTCTTATTATTACAATTATTATAACTATTATTATTAATCATTCTTAATTAAAAAACCAATTATAAAAACTTATTTTAAATTAAATTTGTCAGTTAGGATTTATTGATAATCCTTCATATTGTACGAAAATTTCATTTAAAATTTAAACAAATCTTTCTATTTTTTATTTAGTAAGAGAAATGTTGGATTTTAAAAACTGTGTTGCTTCCTTTAAATAAAATAAAATTTATCACAAACAAGAATGTTGTTTTAAGCCAATCCAAAAAAGAATATAAAGTATAAATAACGATAAAACTGAAACTGAAGTAAATAATGAAACATACAAAATAGTAAATAAACTGCAGTTGGTTGTAAATCTCGGAATGAGAGACAATAAACGGATGTACACGTTGAATGGAGGTACGAGGTAGTACGAAAATATATTTTACTTTGTTTATTAAAATGTAATGTACTACTGATTAAGCCTTAGATGTTGAATCACTGGTTTAGTCATTAGAAATTTAGAGTGTAAGATACGGTGTAATTTTGACGGAGTAATAATAAATACATGACCATTGAATAAGTAATTATTTTTTTTGTTTTAACTTTTCAATTTAACTCCTTTTGTAATTTTTTACAATAGACTGTTCTTCATAGATAAAAATATATTTATAAAAACAAAATATTGATTTATTTTTCAATAAGTTTTAAAAAATAAACTGATAATTAATTTTAAAATGTAATTTATTTAAAGTAATTACTCGTTTAGTTATATATAAATATAATAAAATAAATTATTTAAAGGATAGTTTTAAGGTCACCTTAATATAAAACAATTGATCATAAAGAAATATTCATAGATTTTTATGAATGCACAAAACATTTTAATATAAACTTAAAAATTTGTACAACAATATGAAAAATTATAGACTATTATACATATATGTATGCATATAAGACATATATTATTTTATTAAATTACTTTTTTTAAATTTAATTCACTATTAGAAGATTTTTGATACATATATGAAATATAATTTTGAATCTTAACAGGATGGAAATCTTGCACATCTCACTAATTAACAATTAAATATATATAGAAATATCAATTGAACTGTATTTAATTTAACTTCTATATGATCCTTTATACTGAAATAAATTAATGAAAATAACAGTTAAATAGATATAAAATAAATGAGAACGATAATCAATAGAGTTATTCAAAAGATATATTATTATATAAATAATAATGTTAACTGATAATTGTTTATAATTTTTGTATTGCATGACTTAAGTTTATAACGTTGATCTACATGTGATTTCTCACACCAATAATTCACTCCTCGTGTTCACGTCATGTATAACATTATTATTATCATCATATAATGCAAGCAATGAAAGTTTGGTGTTGAAAATACACAACTTCACACTATTTTATAGTTATATTTTGACTAGATCATTAAATGAATGATATATTCAATAAGTAAACAATTTATTATTCACGCATAAATGCATACATATTTAGCAATAAAAATTAAATTGTTTATTTTAATTCTATCTCTCGTTTGAATATTTTATTGTTATATACATTCTGATGACACATATAGAATTAGGCCAGATGTTTTTGTTTCGGTATTTATATTTTATTCACTTATCATTGATTTTCTTCGTCTCGTGTGCCTTTCGCTATTTCATTTCTAGTCTTGAACAATGTTATTTTAATGTGAAAATTAATTAAATAATTATTTTTAAGTCTAATTCATTGGAATTTCAGTAATTTAATAGAAATAATTAAGTTTTTTTGTTCAATTGAAATTACATTTAGAAGACTAAAAAAATATTTAAGAAGTTTTTTTTTTTTATTAATAATTAATGTAAGGTATTAAATTTTATTATTTATTAATAGTTTTGATTTTTTGAGTATATTTTAAGCCAAATAATTTTCCTTCAAAAAAGAAACAAAATGGTAAAAATTGAAATTATTTTTAGCAACCAAACAATATATGTATTGATAAAAAATCATTCCTTAAAAAATAAAAATTGTTATATTTTTATATAAAATTAAAGAATCAAGATATCTCTTTTCTCCAGTAAATTTACACAGAATAACCTGGCATTCAGAAACTAAAATATCTTGAACTATTCAACGTCAATCAGTGAACTAAAAACTGATTATTTATAAATAAATCTTTATTTAATAAAAAAAAATGTCTGTATGAAATAAATAAATTAATTAATACAAAACAAAATCTTTTATCAATACATAAAATTTTTTTTACGTCTAGCATAATTTTCATGAGGTCATGGAACTGTTGAATTACATAACAACCAGACAAACTTTAAAAAGCTTGAGTTCTTATACTAAAAGAATAGAAGGAAATAAAAAAAGAACTGCAAATAATAATGATAAGATACATACGTAGAGGATCGATCAAACTTATAATTGGCCCGTGTGCTAGCTTACTCAGTGCTCTAATAATAAATCGTGCTCTATCGACCTCCTTGCAGAGATAACACACGGCCTACTTCCGGTTTTAGGCTCCTCACAAGAGTCGCGTGTCGATCGATTTACCTTTGTTATATTTTTCGCGAACTCTATAACCAATCCTTCACCTTTCATGTATTTTTTATATTTAATAGACTAAACCTTCAAAAGTTTAGATATGTTTTTCTTTGTTCTTTTTTTTGCTTGATCTTTTGTTATTTTATATTTTCTAGCACTTTTGTTTCTGTTAACACTGTTATTTGGTTATTATTTTTTTAATGATCGTCAGTCATGTTAATCTTTTTCCTTTGTACATTTTAGTTACGAAGGATCCTCGTCGTTTAACATTTAATTAAATCTACTAACAATTATATTAATTTGATTAAATTTTTAAAATCATGTACAAGATGTAGCTGCGCTGTTGAAAAATTTCAATATTAATTGGAGACCCGGTGTACTAATTTTAACGACTAAAAACACTGGCTATCGAACGTTACGTCACACTCATTAATATAAAAAGAGATTGTATTTATTAAGAAGTCGTATGACATATCGACATCGAATCAACTGCTTTATCTGTTCATCAATTTATAAATGATCTCAATACACGTAATCTTATGAAAATTACTCAACCAAGTTTGTCTTTTTTTTTCATTTAAATATCCTCATGATTTTTAATGTTGGATTAATGCATCAACTAAATTTACAGAGTATTCAACTGATTGAATATTTATTACTTAATTTTCATTTTGATGTTCAATGCGTGGAATAATCGTTTTTAAATGTTTTAAAATTATTAAAATTAAGTTGTGCATTGATCCAATACTTATTATTGAATTGGTTCATAATAATAGATTTTCAGTGAGTTTTGAATGTTTGTAATTATTGAAATAATCTTAATGGTTTTGAATTCAATTTATTCAGTAAATTCGAGTCATTTTGTGGTTGTGATGAGTGTGGAGAAAAATTCAAGAAGACTATTTTTGTAAAGATATTGTGAGAATAAAACTTACAATAACTTGAAACAATGATTTTTTTTTTAAATTTAATTATTGAATCTCAATAAAATTTTTAACTGCTACAACTTTAGTTGACTAAGTAAATATAATTTTGAATATTTAAATGTATTTTCAATACATGGATTGTCAAAAAATTAATTAAAAATGAATTATTTATAATCATTTAATTCAAAATGTATAAATTAGATACTAGATAATTTTTATACTCAATCTTTTTCTTTATAGAGTTTTGAATCTACAAAAATATTCTTCTTTAAATTTTCTTCATTAAGTGATATAAAAATTTGTCAATGAGGATCATAGTATTAACAACAATGCTCTTGTAAATTCAAAAAAATTTAATAATTATTCAAATACTGACGAGGATGATTTTAAGCTTCGCAATAACTCACAATAAATTTTTTTCAATAACAATATTTCAAAAAATCAATTTGAAATTTAAAAATCTGATTAACAATTATTATATGAACTTTATACAAAATACACAAAACTTTAATTCATTGAATTATTAAATTCTTCAAATCAAAAGATATATCACTTGCAACAATTATATTTTAGTATAATAAATAAATACAATGTTGAATAATTTTTTGGCATTCAGAATACGTATGTGAGAAGGCGCACGCGTCGACGAACGATTTAACGATGCGTTGTTACACATAAATATGCTTAGTGCAAGTGAGTTTTACATACATAGATATGTTTAACATGAAAATACAACGCTGCAACTTGCAGTACATATGCTCTCTCGTTCGATATTGAACGCCACTCCTTTTTTTTTTATGTTCCTCGAACACGATTGCATGATCCTAAAATTTGTTTATTTCATTAAGTGAAGGATATTTTTTCTTTCTTTTAAGAAAGAGAGGAGAACAAGAGACACCAATAGTTACAGAAAATAAAGAAAATGACTTATCAATAATAATAAATATTATCATGCGTATAATATAACGCGCAAAAATTTTTTGTAGAAAATTACATCTATTTCTACGTTTGAATAACTTTTAATTTTATTTATTAATAATTTTGTTTCAAGTAATAATAATAATATATCATTTATTTATTTATTTATTAATTATTCTCCTAAATGAATATATTTATATTTAAAAATCTAAAATACGTAAAGGGACACACACCCTTTTCTAAAAACTAAAATATTTTCAATATTCAAATATTCTTTTTGATGTATGAAAATTCGTGAAAAATTATCTAGAACTCGTGTGTGGACGACCGCGTCTATTTATTTAAATATATTCATGTATTATTTTTAGAAGCGTCAGGTAATTTTTTTCCTTCAATTTCAAAAATTTCGAAGGAATTTTCAAAATTATTTTTACATAAATTAAGCTTTATATTTATGTTTTTTTTTATTATTATTGCATTTGTTTCATTAAAACTAAACATAAAAGTGGAAGAATATGCATAATACGTGGTCGTTGTACACGATGAGATACAAGGAGATTTTTCTGTATTTTTTTTTTTGATATTTCACCTATTAACTATTATCCTAAAGATATCTATTATCAGATACATAAATATAAATACAAGGATATATAGATTATATTCTCATGAATTGTTTTAAAATTATTTTAGAATATAAAATTGAATATACACGGTACAATGTGATACAAGATTTTTTTGACGTAAAATAGATTTTTTTTCTGTTTCAAATTTTTTTTTTTAATCAATTTTTTTTTTTAAATATTTAATTATGACTATATAGAATATTATTACATTGTAATACATTATTTAAGTATTAATCGTATCACTTTGCTTTACTCGCAGTAGACGTAAATTCTAGGTCACAGTCATTCAAAAGTATTTTATTTTTTTCTTCTCTAGTTACGTAAAAAATATAAAGAGAGACTTTTCTTCTTGTATTGTTATTTTTTATTTGTTTTATTCAAATGACGATATAAAAACATTGGAAAATTCCATGAAAAATAAAAATGATCAAAAATGCAAAACTTCTGTCTACAGATGAGAATTAATAAATAAAAAATAAAAGTCAGATGAAATGAAGAATTTAAACATCCAACGATCATTTACAAACTCAAATGGCAACGTGCCCAGTAATGTTTTA